TCAATCTGTGTGTGTGTGTGTGTGTGTGTGTGTGTGTGTGTGTGTGTGTGTGTGTGTGTGACTCTTGGTTTTTAATGTTGTTTAAATTCTCAAGTGTATCGTAAAAGGCGAATTAATTTGCAAATCTAAAAGGAATGTTCGGTCTTTTTATTCTTTATTTTTAGATGCATAAAGTTGTGAGTTTGTTTGTTGTACAACACAACAAAAGAACTAATGTTTACCTTTAAACGATTTGTGGATTGGTCATAGAAGCAACAACCACCAAACATGATGATTTCACAATTTGAAATGTGCTTTTTTATTTAAAATAAACAAGATAAAAATGCCTTTTTTTTACATCAGATATTTTTAAGCTGTACTTTCAAACTGTTTTTAATTTGAAAAACTTGAAATCATCGCTGTGTGTTATAAATGTAAGATGAGACGGCCTTGAAAAATAATAAATTCATAACATTAACGTTTTAACAGACAGAACTTTTTGTTGTTGCCATACTATTTTTTATTTTATTTTATTTTAAACAAGCTCCACTCACGATGTTTTTTCAAAAGGCGACTATTTCCGGCATAAAGCTCGAAGCTGTTTCCTCCAAAGTTCAGATATCGATCTGAGCGTTCGATCCATCAATCATCGATCAGTCTCCTCGCTTCCTATGAACAGGGGGGTGTTTGAGTGGGATCATTTCAGCGGTTCTGACTCTGACCTGTGTGTCGGACACTGAAAACTCGCAGAGAAAAATAAATGTCAGCTGTTGATTCGGCTGTAAAAGGCCGCTGTTCTTCTGAGCTATAACTTCATGTTGACCCATCTCACCAGCAGGGGGTCGTGTCGATAACACACACACAGAGATTTGATTTTTTTCATAATCATTTTTCATTCATTTTACATCGATTACAAAGTCTATCAATCTTAATTTGAAAATGTGGTCGACTTCTGGGTTTTAGCTTGAAACGTTTGACTCTGAATTTAGATTTTGTCCGTTCGGGCCTTTACAATCTGTCAGCCATTCTGAAGGAACCAGTCTTTGTTCATGAGTTTCAGTGTGAAATTTACATTTTTTTTATTAGTTATCTGTAAATGTTGTCTCTTACATGCAGAGAAAACAAAATGTATGTTATCTTTGTCAGCTCTTTTAATTAGTTTGTCCCTGCAGGCCTGTGAAGGCTTGTGAGTTATAAAAAGTTATTTTGAGGGGCAAAGAAAATTAAATTAGGCTTCAGGGCTTTTTTATTTTTTATTTATTTATTTTTACCTAAGGGCAGCAGGAGAGTTAAAAAAAAAAAAAACAGCCAAATTGTTGGCTCCTGTGTGCAAAACATGCTGAAATATGTTAATTTGAGTTTACTGAAGTTATTCTGAATCACTCAAAAACTTTAACACAGAAAGAGTTTTGCTGTGAGATTTTCGCCACAATAAAATAGATTACACAATTTACTGACGTGCTTTCAGTGATAAATCCTATTTTGTTGCAAGAACAATCAATACATTTTAAATTTTTAAAAGTTCCACACTTTAAAAAGGCTTATAAACACGTTTAACGTTCTGTAAATGAATTCTGATGTTTGAATAATAAAACATTTTATTGTCTTAAGTTTCTGCTAATTGACAGATTTATTTTGTCTAGAAAAAACATTTACACAAACACATCTGCAGACATTTTGCTTTTATTGTCTTTAGTAAAAGTCAGTTTGACACACTTTGTGTTTTAATGTCATTTTAACTTATGAGCTTATTGCTCTTTTCACATCAACGTAACACAAATTCAAACCTTTTATATGTTTGACACAAAGGCTGTAACATTTTCAACCATAATACAACTTTATTTCCTTTTTTTTTTTTGGAAAAGAACACCAATGCCACTAATGAACATTAAGTGTTTTATCTTATTCAACATAAAAAACTAACCGCAGCTTCGTAAAAATTTATTTAGACCAAACAGAAAAATAATGACAACAAAAACCCAACACTGTTGCACAAGCACATTTTTTGTTTTGTTTTCTGACTTTTCTTTCCAGAACATTTTCAGTCAGTGTGAGCGTGTCCTTCTCATTACTCATATGTCTTTATCAATGCAAAATGCACAGAAGTACAACTTTTCCAGCATCCATATCCTCTCAGGCGCTGGTTGCTAAGTAACAGAAGGAGAGATGTATTGAGACAGAATAGTCAATCAATTTTCCTTTGAGGTGTGTGTGTGCGCGTGTGTGTGTGTGTTGTTGGTGTTTATATTGCACATCCATGTTGTTTCTGTAGTTTGCTGCTCTCTTTAAGAGCACCATCAGACTGTGTGTGTTTTTGCAATGACGAATTAAAGCGTGTGAAAACCCTCATTAAGAAGCTCGCTGGCTCAAAAAAATCCAATCTTGCCCTTCCATTTGTGTAAAATATTGAGACATAAGCTGTTTTATGCCTTAGGGTCATAGATTACCTTCATTCCCCTTCAGGGATTATTTTAGCTTGCTTTTCATCTGATAAGATTTAAAAAGAATAAAGTTTAATCCTCACATTGTGCAGTAAAAAAATAACACATTGGTTGACCAGAGGTGTAATAAACATCATTCTCGTGCTGAAAAAATATTCTATTAAAAAAAAACTTCTTAAAATTGATAGAAAACAAGTTTCCAACATTTCTCCAGGCATTTTCTAAACATTTGTGCAAATAAACTAAATGACTGAGTCTATCATGAGAAGCTAAGGGTGAAATTGAAAACATTGCAATACATTTATGAAAATATGAGCCAGGTTTTATGTAAGTTTTGTCTTTTTACTCATGAAGCAGACAAAGGGAGTGTAAGCAACACTTGGCGAGAATAATAAATCGCTCCAATGAGTTTGAAAGATTTTAGAGGATGTTAAATCACCAAGTGGAATTAACTTTACTCTTTGCGTTTAAGTACTTTTTGAGCGTGTTCCAAACTTTCCTGGTTCAAAACTGAACAAATAAAAAAATACATTTAAGACAAATCACTAAAATCACAGTGCTGTCATATTAATTTTTATATATTTTTTTTACAAAAGCACAGACAAAAACAAACAACTTAGCTTAAAAATTGCCCTTTTTTTTTAACTGTTAACCACCTACTGCATGTCAGCTCGCCTCAGGTCTTCCCAAGGCAGAGAAATACACCCGTTTCATACTCCAAATCGATTTCGCCCTCAAACAAAGAGACAGAAAGAGACGGAAGCTGAAAACTGAAAGAGAAGGAGCAAGAAAAATGAACGATAGATGACAAATTCTTGCCACGCAGCTAATTTGTTCTTGCTTTATCCACCACATCTGGCCACTAGAGGAAGGGATACAACGATGTGAGGGGAAAATTGGAGTCATTTAAAGGCTTTGTGTGTTTACCTCAGGAAAACGCTCGTCTCATATGAGCTTGCCATAACTTTGTGCAGGAAAGTAGTTTATTGTGCAAATGAGTGTGACACAAGACAACAGAGCAGGAGACAGAGCAACAGAGAGGAGGATGAGGACAGGAGGAAAGGAGGAAGGGAGAGAGTCGGGCTGGTGTTAAGGTGATTAGTCTGGTGGGTTGGCGATAGAGAGAGTTGATCAATAGCTTATCGATTGCTCATTGCAAGTGTCAGGGGGGTAGTGGGAAATGGAGGGAGGGTGAGAGAAAGGATAGGGAGGGAGTCGGTCCTGGCTTGACTTTTAAAAATCCTTTACACTGCAGATGACAAATAACCCATTGGACTGCAGGAGAGTTGAAAAATGTGGAAATCCTCCCTGCTGTACAAAGAACACACACACCTACTAATGCAGCACACACACAGCTGCAAATATTTCTCTGTTTCAACTAATCGCGGTCCGGACTATTTTTCAACTGCGGCTAGGTGGGAAAGAAAAATCATTTCTGCAAGTAGTGTGGAGGAACTATTGAGCTCGATGCAGAGAAGTTACTTAGCAGACCATTACTTCAAAGAATTCCTGTAGGCTGAAATATTCACTGGAGCGAGGCTCACTCGATACACACCCCGAAACCTTTTAAAATGTTCTG